TACATGATGAGTTGCTTCTCATTTGATGTTTTAATATTCTCTCTTTGTTTTTGGCTTTCAATAGTATTATTATAACGTATCTATAATGCTCTCCTTGGAGTTTATGCCACTTGGAGTTCATTGAATTTCTTGAATTTCATGTCTTTTATCACATTTGGGAAATTTTCAAACATGGTTTCTTCAAATATTCTTTCTGTACTATTTTCTCTTCGCTTTACCTCTGGAGCTCTCATTATGCATATGTTGGCATGTTTGAGGGTATGCCACCAGCTCTCTTAAACTCTGTACTTATTCCTTCTGCTCCACAAAGTAGTAATTGCAGTTAACCTATCTTCAAGTGCTTTATTCCCTTTTTTTTTTTTTTTTTGGCTAAAGTATAAAATCAGCCCAGTTTGGTGACAGGTTTTTTGGCCTTTGCCTTTCCTGGTTTGGCAATGCAAGCCATGGATTTTGAACCCAGGATGTTTCCTTCCCAGTGACAACAGATTTCAATGTATCTATTATTGCAGTTGGTCCTGATCGCTTCCACTGTCTTAACCAGAGTTCCTTTGTCTTCTGGGATCACCTGTGTGAAGGCAATGGGGGTTCAGGTCTTACTGTAGTTGAGCCATACAAGGCTGGCCTTCCCCTTGAATTAGAGAACCCCCATTTTACAACACAAGGCTAGCAGGAATCAGCTTGATGGAGTCCATGTCATGTGCAGTCACCATCAGCTGGGCCCTCTTGTTTTCTACCAAGATGGTGACAGGATTAACCCTGGTTTGAAGGACAGGAGGTCTCTTGATGGGGACATCTCTCCTGCCAGCAGCTTTCTTCTCAGCCCAAGCCAAAAGCCTCTCCTTTCTTCTCCTGTTTTGCCTCTGCTTCAACAGTTGAACAGCTCCTTGGAGGTCCAAGGCCTAGGTGAGCTGGTTAATGACAGGTGGCATTTTTCTGCTGCTTGTAGAGGCTAGCCCTTTGCCACTGCAACATGTGCCCTTTTAGCAATAGGCCATACTTGTTTCTTTGCATGCCTCATAATTTTTTTTTTTTTTTT